ATGAAGAGATAAAGAAAAGAGGGACATTAAGGGCATGGAATGTAGGACAGAAGATTAAGAGCATTTTTCGATAGGCAAGCACGTCGCCATAAATTTCAATTAGAATCGGACAATAACGGCGTTGCTGGTGGTTTAGGCGCACTGATTGCCGTTTACTCATCTACCCCCCCCCCCCCCCCCACCCCCCCCCCCCCCCCCCCCCCCCCACGATCTCGGTACACTCGGAAGCATCTACCAAAGTCTGTAGGGTCCATGTCTCGTCGAATCAAGGGATTCCCACCAGAGTTGCGACTCTTTCTGAAAACTTTCAGAAGAGGTGTTGGGGGGAGGGGGGGGAGAAGTACTGGCCAGGTGTCGAAGGAGCCACTCGATTGACGAGAAAAACTTGCGCTCGTCACTATGGGAGTGCCGAGAGATTCGAGACATAAACCTCAACTTCATAGCTTTTTACGAGGCCAACAGTTGCTACTTGGTAAACAATCCAATATTACTAAGCGCTGATTCTCGTAACGTAGCATTAGAGAGAGAAAAAAATCTATTAAGATGTTATAAAATTGGCAGTATTCAACACTATATATTATGAAAAAAAAAAAAAAAAAAAAAAAATATTTGAAAAGATTACGACTTTATGAATAGGATTTATAAACAGCCTATATTTTCAAAAACAAATGTTAATATTTTTTCTTGAATTTGAATAAAAATTGTTGTAATATCTTAATTTCAATTAATTATATAGGCTGGAATAATTTCAAGTTTAAAATATTCTTAAATCAAAACTAAAAATAAAAAGTATTGTGAATGTAATTTTCTTAATCATTTTAGTTTAAATGATAGAAACTTGTTTGATTCAATTTATCAAATTTTGAATCAACCAATGCAAAGTTCAACAATATTTATAATGGAATGATAAATCGAATAAAAAATATATAATATATTCATCAATTATCTATAAGTTAAGTAAGCAAATGAAGTACTTACAATTACAACTAATATATCAGAGGTATGATAATATTATTGGAGTCTTTGAGATGTTTTTATAACGAAGCTTACTGAAACAATCATATTACTGACTGATTGAAAAGCTTTGTAATAAGTAATGTGTAAAGAATGTTAATTGCAAAAAATCGATTATACACTAAATTAAAGGAAATGCATGAAAATTGTGATAACATTATACATGTGGTCCCTTAATTTTTAAAAGACCAGATATTGAATTAATTAATAATCTCATATAGATAATACTCTCCATATACATGCAATAGTAAGAAAAATACATAATTGAATAGGGTCTTGAGGCAGAATTTTAAAAGAATCTTCAATAGTCATTTTAAAACTATTTGAAAATATATTAAAGCAATAAGGATTTACAATTTATATAAAAAAAATTTGAAGAAAAAACTGGGAAATATTCCGATAAAGATTAATAAAAATAAATACATTTTTAAAACAGAATATATCATATTTAATTCTTATTAGAAAAATAAGGTTGAAATAAATAAACTTAATCGAAATGGATAAAATATAATTAAAGTAAATTTGAACATTATATAATGATATATTGATAAGGTAACTTTAATTCTAAATACATGTATTTTCTAATCTAGATAATTTCAAACTTAAATTTCATTACCTTATCAATATATCATTAATTTATTGGCGAATGAATTGACAAATCATTGAAACATGCTATTAATATATTGTTTAATAAAAATTTGGTCTTATATTGTTAAAATTATATCGAAAACTCGAAGTCTCGCATTGATAAAATTTATATTAAAAATTAATTAATTATATGCCAATTAATAAGTTACGTAATCTAATAGTGATTGATAGTTAGTTTTAATAATTAAAGTAATAAAAATTTATGCCTTTTTATAGCAGTAATAACGTATTGAAGTATTATTGTGAGATTAAATATATAGTTGCATGACTGAAATGACTAATATAATATTTTACATAAAACTAAATTGTCATTTTTATATATTATATATCACAATATTCTTTTATAAATATAAACTTTTTATATAAAAAAACTTTTTATATAAGAGAAGTTTACATAAGCAAAGTAAATCAAGAGTTAGAGGTGATGTACCTAACAAATCATTCTCTCACTAATTATTATAACTAAATGAGGCAACTGAGCAGAGTAATTATTACTAAAATATTTTTTAATTCTCAGAAATGAATATCTCGTGAATTATTCGTATTTATATTTATATATTCTCTTTTCAAATATGCACGCAAATGCCAAAATAATTTCTAAATGTCATTTATAAGTAATGTCTCTAGTACAGTAATTCTACTATTACTGGTAATAGTATTTTGGTTTAGTATCCTTGACGGATGGAAACACACCGAAAGCAATAATTTTTCAAACGTTTCGCATCAATAGAATAAATTCTTAGTATATTCATCGTACTTGAAGGGCATGACCAGGGGTAAATTAAAGATTAAAAAGAGAGTGTACGAGAGAGAATAGTTTTTGATATTTGAGTTTGGAGAATGGGGTGGGGGATGAATTTTCCTACACCGCAATCTTTCTCCCTCATGAATTTACCCGCGTTTTCGTGTGCTTATGCAATCGATGACTAGCACCTATCCGTATATTGTGTCGGGTCTCTCTGACATTTGTTTTCAAACTGTCATTTTCGTTAAACTCCCAGGAAAAATATAATGTCATTCGGTGTAAGTACGCACACGTATACCACTTGCTTACGCAAAATCTTTAGATCGAAATTTATTTTCAATTGTAAAAATTCACGGCAGCTGCTTCGTTTACTATGCACTCGAATGTTCTCAAAATTTCCAAAATGTTCTACTGTTATTTCAGATACATCTTTTATATCATTAAAAAAAAAAAAAAAAAAAAAAAAAAAAAAAAAAAAAAAAAAAAAAAAAAAAAAATTAACAAAATAAATAATTGTTTTGAGTAGCTAAAAATTTTTTTATTTAATTATTATTATATATATTTTATTATTCTATATAGAAAAACTAAGCATAATTCAGAAAGTTAAAGCTTAACAGTTAATCTACAAAATTATAAACTTAACTGTAAAATTAAACTTTACAGTTTAAAATGTCTATAGTGTTTTGTTTGATTAGACCCCAAGTAAAATCTGTTAACATTTTTATAATAGTTTTTATAGTATTTTTTTTATTGTTTTTCTTTGAAATTAAATGTTCTTTAACAAAAGTACTCTATAATTTAACTGAAAATATAAAAATATCTACTTCTGAAATAAATTTTTTAAATTAATATCGATCATAATAACATATACTTCTCTCAATAATAATAAGTATAAACAAATTTAAATGACATGTTTACATTTAGGTAACCATATCAATATAATAACACTTCAATTTTGCAATTACTAATAGCTTTTAAATATTTTTCATTTTTACGATCGAGATAAACCACATTTTCAAATAAATATTTATAATTATATATTATACTTAAAGAAATATACATTTTAATGTTTTTTTTTTAACTTTTCATTGTCAACTTTTTTTTTTATTTTTTTTTTATTCGTTGTAATAATTCTTATGGCTCGGTGTAACAGAAATTCTAATGCGTGTGTAGCTATGTAAGTAGCTATGATTTAGAGCAGGGAGGAGCGATCCGAATAACCAAATAAAGAAATTGCGTATTGTGAAACAAGAAAGAATAATGGAGAAAAACGTGAAAATAGCAGTTCAGAGAAAAATAAATTACCTAGACCTTTTTCACTCTACCCTCCTCCCCCTCGACGACTGTATATATGTATATAGCGAATCTAATAATCAAGAGAAAGCCGTGTAAATACGCACGATGGGCGCATTTATATGTAAAGGGGAGAGATAGTCGGATCCATAAGGGCACGCTTTTCATGGTAGTAATCCACACGTATGCTATGCATTAGTTTCATAAACAATAGTAAATTGTATTAGTATACAAACTTGACTTTTCATCGTGATATTTATGATTTTTACGGTAATAATATGTACAGGGCATGAGAGAATACAACAACAGTAGAGATTTTTCTTTCGAAAGTAAATATATATATGTATGCGCGTACATTTGTACATATGTTAACGTAAAATTTGTAAAACCTAAAAAAAAATAAAAAAAAAACATTCCTATGTTTTTATATATTTCATATATAATATGAGAACTTTCGATTATACCTATTCAGAACAATATTTTGCAATTTATATAAAAATAATTTGTAATCCATTTGTCAAATTTTTCAACTCACGTAAATTAAGCTAATGAAGATTATCGGAATTGAAAATAATAATAATAAATTCGAATAGGAAAATTTTAAATAAATATTTTTGAGTTATTGGCTAAATGACATTAAAATTTATTATTTCGTAGGAAATTCATCGACTAGCAGAAGCCTATTATTACCTATTGTACTTGACTAGATATTACATAATATATTTAAAATTTAAATTATTATTTCATAAGCTGAAAGGTTATATGAATGATCATAAATAAAATTCGTCATTTAAAAATAAAGTAATTTATTGGTAAAAATATATATATATTTCGGTTACTCAAATATTATAAGTACTACAAAGCCGTTTGAAACGCAGTGTATATGTTAAACTTATAAAAAAATATGAGAAAAGTTGATATATAATATTAATAAGGTAATTTATTACAATTTCATTTGACGTTTCTGTAAATTTTCTATGTATAATTTTTATTATTTATAAATGAATCTTCCAACTATACATACATATATACTCGCTCACTTCTTTTCATGTTTAATATTTTAAAATTCAAAATACAGAAAAAAAAAGTTTAAGTAACACATAAAAAAAGTTAAATAATTAAGAAGTACAGCTTAGAATATTTTATGTGGAGACACTATTACCAGCAATATTTCAATATATCGTAAAATTAAAAATACAATCTGAATCATCAATTATTATATGAACAAGTACATGTGGCATAATTCTGTAAAATGAATAATATACAATTAATAGCACAATTATTATTAAGTATCCTAGTAAACAGGTACAAATAATGTTTCATAAAATTATTGTCACCGTGTTCTGAAATCCTAGATAATTTCACGTACATATACATATATATATATATAATTTTATGAATTTTAAGCGAAGCAATATGAGTAATATAATTTGGAGTCGGTAATTCAGTAGCGATATTACTTTTTCGTCCCGGTATTACTTAATTACTGTCTTTCCTCATTGAAAAACTCACATCTCTTTACAACAATAATGTCTTCTCAGCTACAAGCATTGAGCGCTAGAGGGATACAAGCAACCTAAGACTTACGGGCGTCGTGAGGTGGATACATTGCAAAATGACGCCTAAACATCGGTCCCATAATCGGTCGCACCACTCGGGGCCCAAACATCATCGGCCTTCCAATTGGTGGCATCAGTCGTCCCGTCAGCATTGGCCTTGGAACGCAACCCTTGGAAATTTATTTATTTAAATAGCTTTGGGATTTGGTTTTCGGATTAAAATGTTTTGCGGGCTTATTATTAGGTTGCGGTCGTCCTCGTGACGACGTGATCATTTCGGGCCGGAAAATTCGGATAATTTGGAGCATCGTTCGTGAATTTGTCATTTGTTAACATTAGCGTAGCTTTAAGGTTGGCACTTGGCTTTTTAAGGTTCTTTTTCCATATACAAATTGTCTAAAAGAAATTACCCAATAATGGCCGGGGAATGGCATTCGCTCGAAATAAGTTGGAGAAAGCCGACGCTCCCTCGAAGAATCCCGTCTTTCTCGCCGATCATGCGAACGACCTTTCCTTCTCTCTCGAGACTCTCTATACTCTTTTGTACTGCAATCAAGTTTCAAATCATTCGAGTTATATAAATTAATTAGAAAATCACATCAGACGATTTTTTACCAATGGACATTTGATTTAGATTTGTAATCTTCGGATGATGTGCGCCTCCTCGTTTCGCGGCTCATACTTTTTCGGGTATCGGAGTGGCGCCTTAAACAATAAAGTTATCTCCAAAATTCACATTTGACTTTGATTTCGTTTCAATGATTCAGCTTTTGAAGGTCAGCCAAAATTAATGATAATATTTACAAATAATATCCTGTTACAGACCTTGACTCAAGTGCGCCTGACCGTGAGCTTGTGCGCTTGCCGGGACTAGGACTGCGTCGTCTTCGAGAACTCGACGATTCGGAACGTCGCCTCCGAGGACTTGAGAATTCAGAATAACGTCGTTCAGGACTCATGGAGTCCGACGGGCGTCTCTGAGGACTCATTGATTCAAAATGACGTCTTTGAGAAATCAAGAATTCAGAATGACGTTGATGAGGACTTAAAGATTCAGGACGATGTCTTTGAGAATTTGTTAATTTAGATTGACGTCTTTGCGGACTCAAAGATTCTGAAGAACGTCTTCGAAGACTCGATAAATTGGAACGTTGCGTTTGAGGACTCGAGGATTCCGATCGACGTCTTGTTGGACTTAAGCATTGAGAACGACGTCTTCGAGGACTCGAGCATTCGGAACGACGTCTTCGAGGATTGGAAACATCAGAACGACGACTTATAGGACTCGATAAATCAGAATGACGCCTTCGAGGACTCCATAAATCCGATCGACGTCTTCGTGGGCTATAAGATTCTGAACGACGCCTTCGATGGCTTGATAATTTCGAATGACGTCTTCGAGAACTCGATGATTCAGAACGCCGTTTTCGAGGACTCGAGGATTCAGAACGCCGTTTTCGAGGAGTCGAGGATTCAGAACGCCGTCTTCGACAGTTGGAAAATTCAGAACGCCGTCTTCGAGAGTTCGAAAATTCAGAACGCCGTCTGCGCGGGCTCGAGGATTCAGAACGACGTCTTTGAGGACTCGAGGACACTGAACGACGACGACGATGGCTCGAAGATTGTGAACGACGTCTACGATGGCTCGAAGATTGTGAACGACGCCTTCGAGTGCTCGAAGTTTGTGAACGACGTCTACGAGGACTTGATGATTGAGAACGACGCCGTTGAGAGCTCGAAAATTCAGAACGATTTCTTTGCGAACAGGAGAATCCGGGGCGACGCTTCTGAGTACTTGTGGATGTAGAGCTACGCCTGTCATTATAAGATGGCGAATGATCTCTTGAATGATTTCTAGTTGCAGAATTTTGTTCAGAATCGTATTTATTATCTAGAAAAGGAGAAAAATGAAAAAATAAAAAGAAATTGTTTTAATGATGCATCTTACCACGGTAATAATTACAAATTTTTTACCATATTACTTTACACGAAATATACGTCGTTTAATATTTATTTCTGAATTATTGATATGAAATATATAAAACAGAATTATTATATTATGCGTAATGATTGTAATCTCACCTATTACTAGTTTTCTAGTTAGTTCGATAGTACGATGTTCTTCAATTTCTTGTGATATCTCTTCTGATTTTTTAATTTCCTCTCGATCAAAGATAGGTTTTATCCCTTCTCCTATTGCAATATTTAAAATTCATTTATTTTTCTATTTTAAAATATTATAATCCTATATAAAGTACATTCTTGTCTCATACTATAGTATATTAAATAGTGAATCTTTGTCATCATTACTGACTTATTAATTACCTACGGCATTTTTTCTTTCTAAATCATTAGACATTTACATTACATTATATTAATTATATATATTTTTTTTTATAACATATTATAATTATAATCAGCGGATAATGAAAGTAAAATAAAATTAGAAAAGAAAGATTTTTACATGAAGTATGATGAAAATAGTTGAAATTACATTTGGAATTTTCACTTGAAATAAAAAGGGTTTATTCTAATAAAATCAAGAAATTTTCTACATTATTTTCCTCGAATGTTTTCTATTTTTTTTTTTTTTCACAGCTTATATTATTCGTAAATCATTCGTAAAATATGTGATGAATTATTCAAATTTTATTTGCAAGCAAAGCTTATAATTAAATATATTTTTAAATAATGTGTATTAAACAGAATTAATCGGAGCATTTACCATGTCTTCTTGTCAGTATTATTTCATTAGCATTTACATTGTCAGTTTGAGACGAAGCAGTTTCCGTTATATGCCCAGAAAGATTTCTGTGAATCGTTATTTTAATTTTTCGTAACTCATCCGAATCAATTGTCTGCGATCTTTCAGGTCCATTAAAAGTACTTTTAAAGTCTTTGGACGAATGACGACTGAAATATTGTAATTCTATTTAACGCAACCCAAATCAACAAACATGGTACATCGATTATTATTGTCTATATATGCATGAATGTTATTAGCCATTATCAGCTAAATTGATAATGTAAACATTAAGAAATCAAACACAATGCGAAAATACAAAATAGAGAAAGTTATTTCTTCGTTTAATTCTAAACAATAATAGATGTAATGAAAAACAATTTAAATCAATTTAAACTCATACAACTGGGTAAATGAATAAAAAATTTTTTTATAAATACTCACCAAGTAATATAATAATTCAACAAATAATAATAAAGCTTTATCTTGTCATGAATTTATCGAAGAAGCAATATATTTTCAATAAGGTATTAAATTTTGCAAACATATCGATATTTACTCACTTATCAGGTTGAAAATTTTGTTCATTAGTTTCGGACGTAGAAGAACTACTACATGATTCTTCAGAGCTACTTCGACTTCTTCTTTTGCTATGATTTTTACTAGACGATCTTCGATTCCATTGTAGTTCATGATGTGAAACTCTTTTTACACCATCGTTATTTTTATGAAGCTTACTATGCTCCTTTTCTTTCTCTCTTTCCTGTTGTTTCTCTAAAGCGAGCTTACTCTTATTCTTCTCACACTCCTTATTATTGTAAGAATCGAATTCGCCTCGTTTCCTCATGACGGCAACAGTCGATTATAGCATTAAGATTATGGCGCTTATAACAATTCTTCAATATATATTCTTATTTAATCAAGCTCTTGTTATTTCGATAACGATGTGCGAATATTGCAGGACTGTAAGTTTCAATTTGGATTAATTGCCGAGGTAACAACACACCTATTAATCTTGAAAACGAAACACCACTAAAAGCTCTTCTTGGATTATAATTATTCCGAGCTTGAAGCGAGACTGACAGGAACAAAGTAAGACCTCTAGTTAAGGTCATCTCATATTGTAGAATATGATCCAAAATAAAAGCTGAGTATTAATTTGATCGTATTACCTTACGCTTGTCACGATACACACACGCAC